TGCATTGTATTAGATAACTGTGATTTTCAGTGATATACTTGTAACTGTAAATCAGTGACTATTGATTGTTTTTAGTGATAACCCACTGATTGACTTTTAGAGAGTACCCACTTCCAGGAACGCGAAAAATTACACCTGTTCTATAATTATGAAACGCATCGTATTAGATAACGTTCATTAATCGCACTATTTTTTATCCGTTCCGAATATGATAGTGTCCTTCACATACCTCCGAATTGGCTTGATCATTTTCTTCCACGTGGGGCTCCTCGGTCGTGGTGGTCGTCGTGGAGGTGGTCGCAATCTTAAATTTCGGCCTGGTCTTGAGTGCTGCGGAGACGGCGTGGGCCAATAGTAATCCTAAAACGCGTAAAAGAGCGATCTCGTTATCGAGAAAATGGTAAAAATCGTTGATTTCAAAATCATCGATGGAGCGTGGATCGGTGTCATGATTTTCCGCAGCTGCGCGACTAATCGCGCGCGTTCGAGGTAAATGTAGTTCGATTTGTGCTCGCCTGAGGAGCATCGATGGCCCCGATGAGCCATCTGATATATTAAGGAAAAAGGCCACCACGCATCCGCGGATTACGTAAATCGCGAAGAAGCGTCGGCGTTGCAAAACTTAGAGCAGTGTGGTGAGAACCCAACATAAATGTTGCAATTTTCTCTCGCCGAGCGAGCGCATTCGGTTGGGTAATTGTTCTTAAACGGATCAAGGCTGTCTATTGATCGTTTCCTTTCCACGTTTTGTTGATTTACGATCTACAATACACGAGCCGCATATGTTATATGCGCCGAGCCCGTAAAACGGCGTCAGTCTTCAGCTAATCATATTTCGTTTTCACTCCAGGTTTCTAGGTTTGTCTTCATTATTTATTTTTGCTCGCGGTGGTTCCTTGCTTTAATCAAATCCTTAATTTTGATCTCCGTACATGAAATTTACATCTCTTAAACGGGGGAAGCAAAATACTCCAGTCTACTAATGGCTCGGTGAAGCCTTGCTACTGAATCACATTTGCGACTATTTCGAAGTAGTTCAAGGCTATTTTGAGAACTGGCAGCTGAGGAAATTAAGACGCCAAGTGCGGACAGTCCGTGAGGCGTAAATTAAGGTAGAAATTGTTTTTCGCTTTCTACGGGCTTTATCTTTATAGACGCGGGGTGTATCTACTATCTTCGTAGACGATACTATCGATAATTCCCACGCCGCGAATGCATTGGGTTCAGTTTCTCGAGGCAAGAGAATTAATATAAATTCCACCGCTAACATTTACTCGATTAATCAGTGAGACTTGGAATGTAGAAAACAGTCGCCGACCAAGTAACTAACAATTTCTATAGAATTTGCAGCCGTTTTTACAACCGTGTCTCCCGCTCCCGTTATTTTCGACACGATTCCCGAGTGCGTGGTGCACGTACGTACATACGGAAAAACGTGTTCGCGCCTTCGTTGAATCGATTAGGGTTGCGCGACGACGTGAACGCGGACTTGTGGACCGGAAAGTGGATGTCCTCGAAGGTGATGTTGAAAATGTGCACGGTGGGCCCGGCGATCGTATAACGGGATCATACGTTTCCAGGCTGCGATCGATAAAGAGCCACGCCGTACGGGTCGGCGTAGCATAAAAAATGAATTATGGGAACGCGCTCGCATTCCGTTTGTGGGAAATGTTAACGTGGGCGCGCTCCTTTGCAAACGTTGTACGATAAATCGGGCCCGATGACGAAATCGTCGCCGTTCTAGCTATTTCTACGTTGGCGTGTAAACAAATTGCTTCATTCAATTGTCTGTCGGCGACGCGTAGTCTCGATCGAATGGGAATGATCTGACATTTCCCTCGCCCGAAGGGCGTGACGGAGTAGTCTTCTCTCGCCTTGGCGATGATCTTCATTAGGGAATTACAATGCGACGCGAAACGCATTTACGTGCGCGTTTTACGCGCGGCGTCCACGCTGATGCGTAACGACGATCAAGCCGTGAACGATCGCGTTCATCGCCCGTGAGATTAATATAGCGTCGCTAATTATCGTAAAAGTTTTACGATGCCGTAAGAACGGCGGTCTAAATTATTTTCGTGTCTTTTAAGCGGGCTTTTAAAGAAACCTTGATTCGAGCGGTTGCCCAACCGGCGAAAATGTCAGAAAGCATTCTAAATGCTAACACACAGCGTCACGTGACTGATGTAAACCGCTCCAATGAGTATTACGGGCGGAGAACAGGTCGACTGCGACTTGAACTCGCAGCATGCGTTCGCGAACGGCCGCGACGCGGTCTTTCCTGGCAAGTCAGCTTCCACGCAATTTTCTTTATCGCATCTCCGAGCTTTTTTTCTGCCGCCACTAAGACCGATGACGTGTTTACCGAGTATCTTATCCGGAATTTTCGGACTTTCAAGATTACACGCTCCGCGACAAGACAAAGGAAGCCTCTTGGCATTCACGACGGGTCTCTCTGTCTTCGTGGAACTTTTCTGTAAAGCATTTTTGCGAATTGCACGCAGCCATGAATCGCAATACGAATACCAAATGTGCCTGATGTAACTTAAAGATTAATCTCTCTCTCTCTCTCTCGATTGACAATTCGATCAAAGAAGATCGTTTTGTTGGCGCACATCCAATAATCCATGAAATGTTGCTTGTGAAGTTTTAATTAACACTTATAATTGCAAACAAGATATGAGGGAAAGAGTTTACGCCTCACAGCTTTTAAATTGCCTCTTCTCTCGCACACTAAATGGCAAAATATTTTAAGCCGCCAATTTTATTCCGTGCCAGTATCAGCGTTTAACTTCTTATCGCATTGTCATGTTTAATTCCGTCCGTTTGTCATGGAAGGTAGCCGCTATTTTGTATTGTGCGGGGAGTCGCGTTGGGATTCGATCTACGTGCGCGATGTAAAATTCCCGGGTGTAGAAGGTCGTCCACTGTCTCTTCGGCATTCCTCCGCGGCCGTGGAAAGTCCAAAAATACTAAGGACGCGACGTCGCGGCGGACCGCGAGATGGACAAGGGAAGAGATTCTTTCTTCTGCGGTACGGTAAACAGGATTTCGAGAAATAGTAGAAATCGAGTAAAAGTCCCGCTGACAAGCTCCGTTTAGTATCGGGGAATCGCGATTCGCCGAGAAGCGAGGAATCGTCAGATTCTGTATAGGCTGTGCTTACCGTACAGAGCGAGCAGCAGCAGCCATCGTTTCTCCCGCATATTGGCACTGTAACAAACAAATCGGTCGCATTAGTTACGTGACAATTATTATTTAATTAGCTAGTGGGTCCGCGTTAACAATTCAACCCCAGGGATCAAACTCTATGACAATATTTGAATTTACTATTTCACTAAAAAATGTATAATTTCTAAGTAATCCTGTTGAAGTTGCAATGTGCGCGCGTATATAAAATTATATCCAGGGATTGAACACTATGTCAATATTTGAATTTACCGTTTTACTAAAAAAATGTATAATTTCTAAGTAATCTTGTTGAAGTTGCAACGTGCGCGCGTATATAAAATTATATCCATTTGTAGCATATTATTGTTGATTTATATCGAAGATTTATATCTGTCCTACTGTGGTCGTTACGTCGGATGGACGTGCCTTCGAACATAGTTGTCCGAGTGACGCCCAGAGATGGATGTGAAACCTCCGTTTTTAATTTAATATCGATGACGTAAAATCTATTATCGACAGTGTTTGCTGTTATCTAAATAAAATTATATAGATGATTATCTAGATAAAATTTTAGCGTTATCTTATCTTTATATAGATAATAAAAATAAGTATTATCTATATCTGCATCTCAGATGAAAGAAAGTGTTATTTTTACTAAATTATCTAAGATAACGTACAGATAATTTGGTTTAGGGCCGCATAAGGTTAGCCACATAAAAATACTTAACAGTTACACTATTTAAATATGGATGGCGTTGTAGACCATGCATTTATGTGTGTGTGTCATGTAACTTAACCTGAATATATTCTATATCCCCCTTTATAATTTAAATTTTTCTATAATTTTTTTATAACTTTTTCTACTGTGTTTACATGAAGTCTTAAAAATATTATCTGCAAATTATCTAGATGAATCATCATATGATTTTATCTTTTATCTAGATATATTAAAAACGAAATCATCTTTATCTTATCTAAGATAAATTTATATATTTTTATCTTATCTTTATCTAGCTAATTTTAAAATCATCTATGCACAACACTGATTATCGAATTCCTTGAAAAGGACCACAACCCGTACGGCCGAAACGTCGGAATCAAGCAAATAAACCATCCGCCAGCCTAATGTCGTCTAATAAATCTTTTTGCTGTTATATCGAAACGTCGAAGGCCTCGATTCGACGAGATATTTTTGGAAATGTTGTCTCGTCAGTTCTTTTCTTGCGCAAGACGAGGTTTCGGGGTGACAACGTGATTTCTACGAGGTTGCGAAATGTCGGCCGAATTCCTCAGGGTGTTGAACGACAATCGCACGGCACTGTGCATCGGCGAGCATAATCAAAGCAGAGTGCCTTAGCACCGCGCGTAGACTGTACTCGGGTATATGGGAACGGATAGGAACTTTCTCTGTGCTGTCACCACTGCTAACCATATAATGCAAGGATAATGCGGGTGTTATATAAATGCGCGATCACGTAATATCGGGTGTGACTTTATGGCAGTGATTGCGAATATCTAATTATTAAGAGTCTATCGATGCTCCTAGAGCGCGCAGCTCTGCTTAGAGAGCACTTGTGGAATCCTTCGAACAAGATTCACGATGTGGTAATCCGCTGGCTTAATAACTCACGTTAGATCATCACGCGAGCGACGGTCGCTGCGTTCTTGCGATAATAACGGGTCCGCCGTTTCTTACCCTGGAGGTTGAAATCGCGTTGCCTCAGTATTTTGAGGCTCTTGTATCCCACATTTAATTCTTGTATCTCACGCGCAGTGTCTGCCGTACATCACGACTTTTACTTGCGAAGTTTATTCGAGACTGCGCTAAATTTGCCGCAAATTGCCACTTCGTGGATGTAACGGACGGCCTTGATTTTTACGGAGCTTCGATCACCGTCGATAATTCACACACCGTAATGGCAGTCGCGGCTCTTAAGATTTTCCTTCCCTTTTTTTTCTCTCCTCTCCGCCTAGTGAAAGCAACCTTGCAACCTTCCAGCACCAAATTAGATTACCAATCGTGGACTTGATATAGTTACACGCCGCGAATGTACTATTCTGGTCACACACTTGTACGGACAGCTATTAACGAGGCTTGAGTCATCGGATCTAATCAGTTTGAGGCTTTTTCAGCGAGACGAATGCGAGATTATAAAATCGCCGTGTGTCCAGTCTTTGATTAATGCAAATTAATCAATCGCGATGATCTAAGTGAGATGCGCAACAGGATGCGAATTGAATTCCCGCCTATCGCCTGCAATTAAGCGGAGAGACGGCACGTGAGTTTCGAACGTAAATACACGCGATTCCTACGTTTTTCTCAGTTTTCCGCGCAGAAATGTACCGTACGTGCTCGCATTAATTAAACGCGAGTCTATCGCGCTCCAGTTCCCAAGCAGATTCTTATCGTTTCTGTAAAAGTAGGAAAGAAAGAGAGAGGATACCTCCCGCGTGCTGCAGCCGTACAGGACTGCATTATTCAGTTACACAAGTTTTCGTAATTGTTCCTTTTGTTCGTGTCACAACGTGAAGAACGAGTTCTCAGGCAGGCATGGGAAGTCCTCTCCAGATTACAGATCAGTTTCATCCGGAAGCTGCGTCAATTAGACCCCGGGAGGTAATAAAATTTACGAATTTTTATTCAACACGCGCAAGTTTCATCCGGCAAAACATATCGCCCGCCGTGTTACGTAATCACGTTGTTGTGTAATTTACAGTTTATTCTTTCATCGGGATTTCTTGTATTTATCTACTTCCTATGGCGTGTTTATAAGCGTTTTATATATATATATATATATATATATATGCAATATTTTACACACATTGTGTGAACGTAACGTCCTTTGGCGCGTAACGGTGGATTATCGTGTTGCCAGAAGACTTCAATTTATTAACTATGCGTTACAAGGAATGGAAGATGCGATCTACATGTGTTTCGATTTTTATCGCCCGTCGAACATTTCCCGAAAGAATCTTCCTTATCGAGATGCACGCGAATTACTGGTAACGTTACCTTACGGTAAACTACTTTATGTTACGACATGTACAAGTAACGGTCATCCACGCCCACTAAAGGTCACCGGAAGTGATGGGCTGGTACCACCGGTTGCTCAATTGATTCACCTTCTTAAATCGGACTGGCGAGTGACGTAAAAATAAATGCTTTGAAGATTCTCGACCTTGCTTGAATTATTTAAGAGTTCTTTTTCTGAAACTTCTCGAGAATGAAAATGTTTCCAGAGACATTGTGTTAATTGAAAACAAAACGGTTATAAAGAAACAGACATTTATGTCGTCTTCTTAATTGAAAGTGAAGAGCAGGGTCTCAAAAGATATTTTTAACTCTGAATTAACTTCTCGTAATAATATGTAAACTTTTACGCATTTTTTTCGGCCGCAATGAACAAACGTTTTTCGAGCGGTGCCAAGCATTGCGCTAAGGTGCGGTTGCAAAAGTCGATAGTCTTCAAAAGTGTAGTATGCCGAAACAGCAGGCTTTCATTTCCTCATGCGTGCTATTCGAGTGCTCGCTCCGAGCTGTATTGAATTAATCGTCGATCGAGAAAAACTATGCACCGATGTCGACCGCAGCACAATGCGGCAGAAAGATTAAAAAATGCGAGCGCGTAAAGGCGAATTTCAACAAGGAAATCCTTTACGTATCCTCAGAATGTTGTTTCCCTTGTTAACGAGCCTTATTAACATTTCAACGGCAATAATACGAGATTATGTATTATGCGTGTTATAAATATGCAATTTAAAAAATGCTGGTTACTTCAAATAGGATTGTATAATTAATGGTAATTTGCGGCTTGCATTAATTTACATTAACAGCGATTGACATTTTCAGAGAGAGAGAGAGAGAGAGAGAAACATTGAGATAAAAATATATATTATGTGTAAAAAATTTTTACAAAATTTCTGATTAAAAGCTAAACTCATATATTTTGTGAAAAATTGAAATAACAAGTTTTACACACATAACACAGAGCTTTTTTGTCGCTCATTTTGCCTATTTTCCCAGAGTAGTGAACAAAGGCAGATTCGGTCAGACACGCTTCGCGTATTCTAGTACGATTATATCTCTATAAAGTAGATTTGCTTGAAATGGATCTAATCGGTCGCGATCGCGTCGTGATCTGACAGATCAATGGATCAGTCACGAACATTACGCTTCTCTCTATTTTAATCGTGCTTCATAGCCGAGGAAGAGCGTTTGCTGCATTAGTTGCAGGCATTGTTTGCCTTGTACGTAGAAAGTGTGCGAGATTGTGCAAGGCAAATATATGCACAACAAACGCTCATAATCATAACGAGAGCTGTTGGTTGTGCGTGCGCGCAAAAAAAATCTTTCGTAAATTAGATTGCTATCTGATTGCGGAGTATGAAACGTTGAACTTGTTTGGACGAACGCCAGGGCCGCATCGGGAATTTTTGAGCGCTGCGAACAAAACGAAATTCTGTGCAGCTGTGTCTAGACCGAAGCGAACACGTATCGAGTCGATCTTGGGGGTGAATACATATTTACAAGTCACTTCATATTTAAATATAGGAATGCGTCTGCGTATACCAAAGTGATGTAGAGTCCGGAATACTTGAAAGACAATAGACTAAGGAAAAAATGTATGATGTTATTGTCAGAAGTAAATTCGAAAACGTCAAAACGTCAAATAAAAGTGTATCAAGGCACAGAAAGAATAAATTTAGGGGAACGTTTTGTTACAACATATTTGTTCTTTTTCTAAAGAAGCAGCCATGAAACGTTCTCTATGTCGGTAAATATGTTTTCTTAATTTTGCCAGTTTTAAAGAGACGTAAGATGTATTTAAAACGTTATAATTTTCATTATATCTTGTCAGTATATCGCATTTCCACATTCCAAGCTTCCGTTCTGACACTAGAACGATTTCTCCTATTAGAATTTAGAAATTCCTCCATAATCCATTTACGTGTGCTTTCTGCGGGGATCTGTTTCGTTAATTTTACGTGATTAGCAGCATGTTAATAATTTACATGTAAAGGAAATATGTCTAACTTCTTCC